TCGTTCTCTCTTTTGTTGGTCCTAAGGGACGATGGGAGGCTTCGGGGAGGCTGACCTTTGCGGACGGACACGCAAGGGTGCCGCACGCCTTAGGCAAAATCAGCTAAGGTCGTGACACTACTCTGAGCAGAAGGAAACACCCAAAACCAAGCTGAGAAGAGGAATGCCCAGATTTACTAAATGAGCTTCAAATGCCTCCACTAGATCAGAAAGAGGATCTTGATAAAATATGGCACCCAGAAATTGTGTTCGTTACAAGTGTTTGTATCATCAAGCGGAAGCAAATAGAGTTTCAGAAGGCATGGGAAAGCAAGTAACAGGTGCTAATGTTCAAACAAAAACCCTCGCTGTTTGTTGAATCTCCATGGAACTTCTTTCAGAAGAGCTGAATCTGAGAGGGAGTAATTGAAGACAAAAGAAGACTATATCAAACATGGCTGCAATGTTGAAACTTTTTGCTCAAGAGGATAAATTTTTGACTCCAGATCCAACTTTGGTCCTCAGTTTGGAGTATTCTATCTGTTAATCCCTCTTCAATTGATTAAGCATGGTCCTCAACCTACATGGAATAACAAATTTATTAAGCATTAGCTTATAGAGTGATAAATAAATGGAATCTGTGGTGTATAATGTTACCAGGGATGAGGATTTTGTTCAGCCTAAGAATAATGCTGGGCATATGACCAATTTTGTTGATCTCTTCTGCTGTTCCTTGTGTTGGGAGAGTGGGATCAGCTTGCTGGCTTCTGGTACTGCCTCCTCTATATCTTTTACAGTGAAGTGAGAAGCTGTGTCACACATTTCTCCTCCATCTAACCTTGGAGATGTTGACTTTGGGATGATACGTTTAGAACGGAGACCAGACCATCATTGCTGCTTCCAAAACACAATCAAGAGAAAGAGAAGCCATGATTGTTAACAAAGAAGGGACATCCTTAAAGGTGAAGTCAGCCCCTCTTCCTCCTCTTGTCTCAAGTCTTGTTCACTGTTTGCAGCCTCTGTGGGTCACATGATCACCAGTGCTGTTGCAGATATCTATTGTTGCAACATGTGGAATGGACTCAGCCTGTGTATGTTTCTTATATGAATCACCAGAACTGTTGCAGATCTCTATTGTTGCAACATGTGGAATGGATTCAAAGCCTCTGTGGGTTGCAGATCTCTATCGTTGCAACATGTGGAATGGAGTCAAAGCCTATGGGTTGCAGATCTCTATTGTTGCAACATGTGGAATGGATTCAAAAGGTATTTGCTTAAGCAACACAAAGTGACAGCAATAATGACCCGAGTCAATCATGTGAAGAGTTGGAAACCATCATGCCCTCACAGCAGCATCGATGGCGCATGAATTGGGTGAAATAGGAGCTTCTGATGGGGAGCACAACTGAGAGCTGCACGCCTGGAAGGAAGTCGTGATGGTGGAGGAGGGGATAAACATGGTGAGGTGAGGAGTCGTCATGATGATATACCCCCACTAAGGCATCGTTGCACAGCGAGAGGAGGCCATCTCAACTAGTGCTCTCTGCCTCTTCCACAACCCAAAGTGGGAATTGTTCCTCTCCAAGGTTTGAATGCTTGCTTTGTGTGCCAAATGCACCTACCGCTCCAACCATCACAAAAACATAAAGATTCAATCATTCAGTTGCTACACCAAAATCAAATTCTCAAATGTTCATGTCTCTTTATATTATTTATCCCTCTAAAATTAAGCATAACAAATATATGTTTCTCAAAAACCAAGAAACTTGTGTACGTCATTAGAGTTAAATTTTGGCCGTTATTATAAGTTAATTGTTAGTTGAAACTCTACCTCACATTGATATCCTCTAGTATAGAGAGGTACTCAGCAAAACTATTAGGGGAATCTTAAATCATGATTAGAAGTGATTAACCTGAGTTTTCTGGAATCAATGCTAATGTAAGTGACATTTATGAGGTTCTTAATAATTGTAAATATGATTTTTCCCAGCTTTGCAATTGTCTAATAGCAAGGAAATATGATATGTAAAGGGTGTCGTGGGCAAAATATCATATCATCTATATATAAATATGATATATAGATATCCAGAACATTAGCAACTGAGGTTTTTGTCAACAAAACTAATTGGTATCTTTCGCATTTATCGGAATCTTCATTATTACTACTTCTTTTATATATATATATATATATATATATATATATATATATATAT